CCCCCCCCCGCCCTTAGCAATGGGCCGCCCCAGGTGCGTGTGTCCCCCCGCCCTTAGCAATGGGCCGCCCCAGGTGCGTGTGTCCCCCCGCCCTTAGCAATGGGCCGCCCCAGGTGTGTTCCCCCCTCCTTTGCCAATGGGCTGGCCCAGCTGTGCACACCTCCTCCCCGCCCTTAGCAATGGATTGCACCAGGTGTGCCCACCCCGACTCCCCTTTCTGGGAAATGGTTTAGCCCCATCCCCTTTTAGTGGAGTTCCCCGGACCGTTCCATTTTCAGGAGCTTGGGGGGGGTTGGGCTGAGCATCCTTCCACCCTTGCAGAAAACGAGCTGGAGGCGGGGGGGGATTCGAGCCCACCGCCTCCCAGCTGACTTGTGCGTCACGCGTGTGTCACGTGTGTCCCCCCCACGTGTCATGTGTCCCCCCCACCACCCCAGGCTGCCCAAAAAGGACAACCCGCGGCGGGCGCTGTGGCTGGAGAACAGCCGGCGGCGGGATGCGAGCGGGGAAGGCCGCTGGGACCCGGCCTCCAAGTACATCTACTTCTGCTCCCAGCACTTCGAGAAGAGCTGCTTCGAGATAGTCGGCTTCAGGTAGCTAACGAGACCCTTAACGAGGCGCCTAACGAGGCGGCCCCTCCTTCCCCTGCAGGAAATGGGGTGGATTTTTAAATGGATTCCTCCTGGTTGGGCTTAATGTGGTCTGTCTCTCCCCCGCCAGCGGGGGAAATGGTTTGCTCTAAATGCTCCCCCAGTTTCCCAGTTGGGGGTCCCAACCCTCCCAGTGCTTCTGGGGGGTCCCCAGGACTTTGGGGGTTATGGATCACCCTGAAATCGCCCCCGCCGAGGCTTTTCAAGGACTTTCCCCCCCCCCCCCAGTGCTTTTTCAGGGCTCACGGATGTTCCCCATGACTTTTGGGGTACCCCAGGGACACCCCCCAAAGATCTTGGGGGGACACCCCCCCAAGATCTTGGGGGGCTGCCCCGGGATCTGGGGATTATGGAGCACCCAAGGGCTTTTGGAAGACCCCCGTCCTGTTTCCCCTCAGGACTTTAGGGCACCCAAGAGACCTCGCAGGCTGTAAATCCCCCTAGGGACCCCCCCTCCCAAGGCATTTTGGGGACCCCCCCAAGGCTTTCAAGGTTCCCCAAAGTCCCCCCAGGACTTTTGGGGACCCCCTAGGGCCGCAGAGCACCCCGAGGACACTGACAGCGATGGGGCACCTTGGGGATCCCCACCCCAGGTACCCCATGCCACCCACTGACCCCCTCCCCCT